CCCGCGTGTTGTGTCGCCAACCGGTCTTCTTTCAGTACAGTTCCGCGGTCGGTCCGGACGGTGCCGCACGGTCCATATACCTACGGTGTATGGTACATACCTACTTAGCCTACGGTATGTACCGTCCGGGCAATCTGCTGGAAATTGAGCAATCCGCCGTCGATGATCGAATCGACGGTCGGAGTTAAAATGTCGGGCCTACCTAGATTCAAATTCAAAATTCGACGGTCAACCACTCGGACTCACTCAGTGTACCTAGCCTAAACGCCTAGACTCGTCAGACTTAGATTCGACACATTGTAGCTGTAATTGGTCGCTAGCTAGGTAAGCCATTGGGCGCCGCCTTGAAGAGCGCCATGGCGCAAGTCGTTTCAATCCACCTTTAGACTTTCGCGCAGTGCCACCCCGCAACGGCGTAGATTGCCCAGGTGCGTCGACAGAGGATTGGAGCACGTGCGGCGGGATTGCGGAAGGCCTGCGTGATGGATTAAGGAAGACAACAATCGAGGGTGAGACACAAGCCATACAAACCATACTAGCTCGAACCAATTGATGCACTGATTGCTGTAATGAACTTTGTATGCAAAGCTGTGCAAGATTTGCCAAGCTGTGTAAGAGTTGCCATTTATCCTCTTTGTCAAGATTGCAACATCTGCTTATAGAAGTGTCTTTCACAAAGCAGAGTTGCAACTCGATTATAACTTGGGTTGTTGCAATTGATCACTTTGATTGCTTATATATTGACTGCCAATAATTGTACATTGCAGGACAACCATTGCCAATTGTAGACCTGCGTGAGGGATTAAGGAAGACAACAATCGAGGGTGAGACACAAGCTATACAAGCCATACTAGCTCAGACCAATTGATGCACTGATCGCTGTAATGAACTTTGTATGCAAAGTTGTGCAAGATTTGCCAAGCTATGTAAGAGTTGCCATTTATCCTCTTTGTCAAATTTGCAACCTCTGCTTATAGAAGTGTCTTTCACAAAGCAGAGTTGCAACTCGATGATAACTTGGGTTGTTGCAATTGATCACTTTGATTGCTTATATGTTGACTGCCAATGATTGTACATTGCAGGACAACCATTGCCAATTGTAGGCCTGCGTGATGGATTAAGGAAGACAACAATCGACGGTGAGACACAAGCCATACAAGCCACACTAGCTCAGACTTGTCAAGCGTTGATGGTAGTATAGATGGATCTCAATAAGTTGATGTCTTGACCAACCGGCGCGAGTGTTGGTGTTTTTCAACAAGGTTTGGCTGCTGGCGCATAAGTTACGCTAGCGAGGCATTAAGAAGGTTCCAGCGTAATGTGTGCGCAGGTAGTGTACTGGTCTAGGCTCCGAAGTATCATGAGGCTAGCTAGACTCAGTGGAAGCACCTAGGCTAGCTAGACTCAGTGAGCAGTAATCAGTGAGTTACCGAATTTTTCGCCGAAGTTGGACTCGAGAATCAAATTTGATGAGTCGACCGTCCGAGTACTGAAGTTGCGCACATTCTACGCTCACCACCCATTCAAGCATTCAAGGCTTTCAGCGTAAACTGTGCGCCGTGTGTAACGACGGTATTAAATGCCATGTCGTGCCGTGTCGACGCCGTACACGTAATGAGCAAACCGTACACATGCCGTTGCGGCTACATGCCGGCCGAATTCATTGTACCGTGCTGATGCGTGCCTCGGACCCCACAATGCCGTACATGTGCCGGGTAGGTGTGCCGCGCTCGCCTTGTCGGCACTAGGACGGCTGCCTGGCGGCACCGACACCGCCGGACGGCACATTGCGGCACGTCGATGAGTGCCGGAGCGGCATACCATGACGGCAAGTGCCGCAACTGCCGCCGGCAGCTTGCGGCACCTGCGCGGCCCCCTCGAAATTTTGCGATGTGAACAAGGTCAAGAATAGGATGGCTGACTCCACTTTCACTCCGTTAAACGAACGGGCCGTGGCCAAACAAGAGCCAAGAAGAGATCCTCTGAGATACACAGCTGCTTCAGTTCTGATGGCTTCATTGCACCTTCTGCTATCGGATCCCTCTGGGATAGACTCTCAGCTTGAAGTGGCCCCCTTTGTGACGCAAAGGTTCTGAGGTGCCACTTGGAAACCTTCTGCAGCGTACCTCGATCTCCTTGGCTCTTCTTGGTCCTTGGGACTCGTCGAAGGCCTTGGACAGCTTCTCGACTTCCTTGGTGTAAGGGAGCCCTTTCGACGACTCGAAATTCCACAGATAGAGACCCAGCTCTTTTCGAAGAGCGTCGGCTAAGGGAAACTTCTTTCGATGCTTCCTATACTGCAAGCAGAGATGGCACGTCACGTGATAGCAGATATAGGCTCCGGAACGATACATCTACGGCTCCTGATGGTCGTGTCTTCACACCAGCATAATAAGCTCAACATCGAAAGACCTCGCAGATGCAACGTCTCATGCGCTTCAGCAGGGGACGTGCGAAGTACTTATCAGTGGTGGTCTACGGAGAGAGCTTCTCTAAGAGGTGGACAAGAAGAAGTGGCGTTGAGCCCATCTCATCCTTATGTGCTGGCTGACAAAGGAGAGGAGTAGTGCAGTGACGTCTCGTGCCTTTTAGGCACTCCTCATGGTTGCTCTAAGATCTGGCGCGAGCTTACACTTGTGAGATACGAGTATGCTGTCAGCAGTCCAGAGATCATTGAAAGGGCAGCAGCGCCTCCACCACTCGCGATCGCCCACGTATATTTGAAGACCGAAGTCGCGGCTTGCTTTACACAGTCTTTGCTTGCAAGATTGGAACTTTGGCTGCAGTCCACTACGCTCCCGTTTGACCCTGCGCCGGTTGAGCCTGCAAGAGTTGCGTGCATTAATTGGGCACATTCTCCGAGTTTGCGCATATGCAGTTGATAAGTGGATCCAACCATTCCCTTCATTGCAGATGGGTATGGATTTGAAGCCACAAGCTAGCCGACCCAAAACAGAGTACAAACTGCGAAAAGCCTCTCTGTAGCATATGCCACCAGACTTGGACCCTTGCTCATCAGAACGAAACTGTGGACAACAGTTGCAACACGACGCCTGCTTCGTGACAGGAGATTCACTTTAGCTGTCCCGAAGAAGCGGGCCTTTAAGGCAAAGAAGAGGACACGCAAGTCTGCATGGAAAGAAAAAGCAATCTAAGTTGCTTCGAGCTTCCGTTAGACTTCCCGGAAGGGAGACGAAGTACGAGTGCTTAGCAGTGAACAGTGCACTTTCACGCACCTGTGTACGCGACTTGTGGGGGCGCTTGGACGGTGGTCACTTGGTGGGGCCCAAAGATCGACGGCAGGCTGAAGGTCGAGGCCTCGAGGGTGGCGCTAATATCCGAAACTGTAGCGGCTGACAGAGCCGAGCCCTGTCCGGGAAGTGGTACGGACACTGTTGTGACGATAACGCTCCCCTGCTCCACTCGTGAGACCCGGACCTGAATAGGGGAGGCGATCGGCTCGGTGGCGCCCCTTGATGTCTCAGGAGATCAGTAGCATGGCCGGCCGGCTGAAGAAGCAATCTCCACTGTTGACCGTTCCAAAGTTTGGAACGAAACCTCGACTCTGAGTGCTCTTCAACGGTTGCGAAAGAGGACAAACTCGATTGTTCTCGAGAAGCAAAAGCTGTCGTTGACTCGGTCACTCTCCTAGTCTGCTGGCTGATAGAAGGACAGAAACGTGTTTCACACTCATGTTGCGTCCCGCTCGTGATGCAGTGAAGCTGGGCACGTACCTGACCCGCTCTAAGCTGGAATGAGTCAGCCAGAGATGCGACGAGCTGCGCTTGCAGGGTGGTGTTGAAAGTGAGCAAGTTGAAGGCAGTGAGCCGGAGGACTACGGTGAGCGGATACACACAAGGGCACTCCATGTTGACGCCAAGAGTCTGGTCCGAGGGGCACGTGCAAGTGACTGCGAGAGGAAAGGAGGGCTGGCTGTTGCCGGACATTTCATTCCAAAGGAGCAATCGAAAGCTTCGCGCTCTCTGCACTCAAGGACGCTTGGCTCGACTTGCCTCCAGATATGACAGAGACGTGTCTGGCAAATAATCTTCAACCGGTGCCTTGAGGGGTCCCCAGGCTCAAGACCCTGAGGGATTCTCGGGGAATCTCTTAGCTCCGAGTTTTAATGAGGTCTCTTGGCCATGTCAACCACAGAGGTACGCTCTTTATCCTTGAAGCAAGCTAGCTTTACAGGGAAGGATTTTCGCTGGCAACATAGTCAAGAGACACACAAAAGCCCAATTTCGATTGTAAGAAAGGCAAGAGGTTTACCTGTATTGGGAGGCGCACTGGGCTTTGGTGGGCTGAGTGCAAGGGATGGGGAAGGAGATGGAGCAGGAGTCTCGACTGGGGGCTCTTCCACGGGTGGTGCCGATAATGGTGAGAGGTCCGTTGCATTTGGAGCGTAGGACGGGAGTGGGGAAGGTTGAGGCCGCACAGATCTAGATGGAGACGGTGAACTTATACGTGAAGAGGTGCTTGGTGAGAGGGAGAACGACGGTGAAGCTTCAAGGGAGGGACTAATTGCAAGAGAAGTGGAGGGCGAAGGGAGCGGCGAAGGCGACTGCGGACTGGTTTGCGAAGGACTTGGACTTCGTGGTGAAGACGCAGGAGAGGTTTGAGAAGGTGACGCAACAGGCGATGAGGACATGGATGGATCAGCTTGGAAAGTGGAAAGTGATGGACTTTGAGAGGGAGAGGGGGAAGTGGAGGGGCTAGGGGCCAAGCTTTGGGCCGGTGGTTGGGAACCTGAGGGCGATGGTGATGCGGATGTTGAAGGGGACGGCGAGAGGCTCTGCAAAGCTGAGGGGCTGAGAGAAGCAGACGGAGACGAGGTCATCGATGGAGAGGGGCTCGTTAACGAAGAAGGGGAGGGAGATACTGAGACTGATGGCGATGGAGGTATCGACTGAGCTGGAGATCGGCTTGTCATAGGAGAAGGTGAGGGGAAGGGAGTCGAGGAAGGAGATGCAGACCTTGACGGACTTGCCGAGAAAGAAGGCGAGGGCGAAAGGGAGGGGTAGGGGGAGGGGCTTATCGAAGGTGACGGAGATAAGGACATGGATGGAGAGGGATTGACGGATGAGGACGGAGATACGGAGATCGAAGGCGAAGGAGAGACTGATCGAGAGGAAGATGGGCTTGGGATCGAAGAAGGAGAAGGCGTCAGCGATGGGGACGGAGAGCTTGCTGGACTTGGTGAGGAGGAAGGAAAAGGCGAGCTCGAGGGAGAGGGCGACGGGGAAGAAGTTGTGACTGAGAGGGAGACGGAGATGCTGCGAAGAAGGAGAAACAGCCTCAGGTACAAGTACAGCTGTCAGAGAAGATGTTGGCTGACTTGTTGCTCCTGACAACGAGGTGTAAGGTGCCTTTTCTCAAGCACGAGATCAGAGTGGAAGCAGCTCTACTGGTTCGACGAGGCCACACCAGTGCCTAGGACCGATACTCGATCAAAGTTGGGTCAGAGTTCGAGAAGAAACGTAGCCACCAAAGCTACATGTCCTCTGAGAGCTGACGCCGTTGGTAATGGAGTGGGGGAACGAGCTGCTTGTTCAGCCATCGTCCCGGTGTTGGCAGGACCTTGACAGACATACTCACCAGCAAGTCTGAGGTAATAGTTGGTACCCAACGAGCGCATCAGCCCATGGGAAGGGGCTTGTTGCAAGGAGCAACACAAGTCCGGCCAATAGTTGGACGTCCAGAACGAGAAGCCAATACACGAGCTGAAAGAAAGGCACAGGTTAGCGCACGCGTCTGCAGAGGGCTGGTAATAACCGACTCTGTCTGATGTACACTCTTGAAGCCCGTCGAGTGCCATTTCGTAATTACCGATATAGTCAGCATCCTTGTAGTTTTGGAAGCTGGTTACTCCCGGGAGGCCTGCGGAGAGATGAACTTTGCGCTTGAAGCTAAAGATGCTTCTGAGTCTCCCTGCCACGGAACTGCCGGGCGCGAAGGTAATATAGCTTTGACCTTGAGTCTGTGGCTACCGATCACAAAAGACAAATGATGTCCCCAAGGATCGCAATGTGCTGACACAGTAAGCTAAAGATCCTGTAAGCAAGAAACGATGTGCAGGTTGTGAAAGACCAGTTCAGCTCGACCTTAGGTGCAGCAGTCACTGGCACTGGCCAGGTTTCAGTCCTTCTCAATAGTGTTTCTACTATTCGCAAGCTTCCCTAGTTTGCAACTCTGGTAAGCTCACCGGATCTCCGAAGATATAGACTTGCATCCGATCCTGTTGTGAAGCCACCGAAGGGCGCTTGCTTCAAGAAGCAGCAGTTAGGCAGGACTGAGTCTCCCGGCCACCACACGAACCCTATGCAAGTATCGAAATTGAAGCACACGGTCGCACAGCTATCCACAGATTGCTCGACATATCCGTCATCGCCTGGCCGACACCGGGTAGACTCATCCTTCCAAGGAACAGGAAGGTCCCGTGTGCCCGTAGCATCCGTTCCGTTGTAATAGATGAATCCAGGAGACACCTCTTGTGGCAGATTGCTAGTAGCAGGCTGGACGTTTGCAAGCACCAGAACCAAGGCGAGCGCATAAAGCGTCCACCGAGGGACTTTAGTACGACTCTTCATGCCTCTACTTATAAGCAGCTGATCAGGACCGGGAGCTGAGCCACCAAGGGCCCCTAGCTGCAACGGCCAGCTTTACTAACAGCAGGTTGTCAGGTGACGTGCCTTGATCCAATGGTTGGGTTGCCTAATCCGTGCCAGCTGCAAGCTGCAGCATCCCCATCATAAATACGAGTATGGATCCCCTGCATTGCCATGCAGTGCCTCCGGCAGTGCACGTGCCAGCTGAGGTTGCCGCTGAGGTTGCCGCATTTGCAACTCTGAGCGTATGTTGAGCTCCCTCCCCAACTTTGCTTGATCGTGAGTGCATTGTAGTTAGGTAAGCTGCAGGCTCGGGGAAGTAGGTAGAACCCAGATTGAATATTGTTGTCGATCACAGTCCTGATGTGAGCTGCTGCGCACTTCCTGGCAAAGGAGAAGCTACCTATGTCTAGTACGTATGCAGCTTACTTACTCAGCTGATCAGTTGTCATCCGCAACATCCCTGCAACAGTGCTTTCCAATCTTTTGCAAAAAGTGCAACATTTCTACCTTGAAGAGGATCGGCCAGCTTGGAACATTTGTGAACACAGAGACTCCTTCAAACCATTGGCTCAGCTTCCAAGCTAGGCCCTCAAAGACCAGTTCGCATGCGCGGCATCTAGGCTGGATCTCTCTCATGGTCAGAATTGTGTCAACAGGTGTACGTGTGTCAACAGGTGTACTGTGTGTCAGAAAGTGAGAGTAGCCAAAAGTGGCAGAATAGAGGAGACTGGCAACGCGCTCCACTTTAATGCCGACTTCACGCCTGCTTCTGGTCCGGCTGTGCGAGTCCCTTGACAGTCTGGTCCGGCTGTGCGAGTCCCTTGACAGTCATCAAGAGTTGTACTCTCGGTTGTTATACCTATGAGAGAATCTAGGTACCGTCCTACAGCTGTCACCAACTTGCACATAATGCATCGAGGAGCGGGTACTGGTTAGATTTGCAACTGTATAACCGCCGTTCAGAAATCCCGAACCCGGCTCGCGAACTGAAAGATGCACGCGCGTGTTCAGCGCGCGCGCAGATCATCATGCTGCACTGGATCCTTCCGACAAATGTGCGCAACATAACCTTCCGAGTACCCACTCCTGCGCCCTCAACGTCAACATCTTTTGGACTCATGATGGCTAAGAACATAGGATTGATGCACTCTGCAAGGCCTATATTTTGTTTTCGAGGCAGTAGGAACGAAACTCTTTGACGTACGTTTGGGGCATCTCTCCGCAAGAGATGCTGTGCCTTTAGGGAGCGAGTATCGACCAGCTTCTGTTCCCTGGTCTCTTCTTCCCAGCTAGATCCTGCAAAGCAGATTTCGATGCGTGGCACTAAGGCACTGAAGACGCTTCCTCATAAGAAGCCTGCCGCTAGAAAGCGCGATTACGTAAGGTTTTGCGGAGCAGATTTATAGACCGTGCACGTGACGCAGAGATAGCAGAGGGAGTTGATTGCTCAAGAAGGCGGTATCTCGTAGAGAAGGAGCAAAGAAGTTGCAAAGGAACGGCTGTTCATGAGGAAATACCTTCACGATGCACGACAAATTACAACTTCTTGCCGGAGCAGCGAGTCTTTGGCTGAGTGCTTCACCTCTTTGAGTCAATGCTCGCGACTTCCTTGGCGGCTGCATGTCCTCCAAAATACTTACACAACATTCATCAGCCCCGTTCTATCATAGTATGACGGGACAACAGGTATTTCGGTCTTCTTGGCTAAAATTAGTATCTGCGTTGTGCAGATCTATTCGCTTCCATGTTGGCTAGCTGTTCATAGCGGCGTGCGAATGCTCGATGCGCAAACGGGCTATACTACCTGATTGAAGCAGTGCATCTCGTGCATCATCATGGTCGCTTCTTGACAAGGGTTGACGTTGTCAATGCATGCAAAGCAAGATTGGACGTTTGACGTGCAAAGATCAAGCAATGCTTCAATGAGTGTTTGACTCGCTTATCTGTAACTCCTGCTGTGTCTCTCGGATGAACGGCTCTACCGTCAGTAGCACGCGCCTACCGGGCCGCCAGCCTGCTTCGATACAAAATCAGTATCCTCCCTCTGTCACAGCTCAGGTTGTACCCTTACCGAATCTCCTCCTCCTGCTCTTTTGCATGTCAAGACAGAACGTTCGGAGGGCGTACGCTCCTGGACTTCGGTCTTCTTTCCCCTCCTTCCTTATAGCTCCTTGCTGTCCGGTTCGTGAATGCTTCTTGCTGGTGCCTTTCGACAGCGCCATCTTTACCCGCTTCCTCCCAAGGCCACTTCTGCCCCTCAAAACCGCCCGGGTGATTACCCCGGCCGCAGCCAGCGTCCTGTGGAAGCGGCGAGTAAAATGTGCTCCCTGCCCGGGGAAAGCAAGCACGCGCATCCTGGCTAGTACATCTCGTCAAACAGAAGATGGCCCAACAGCCCAGGCAGGTTCGGAGACTGAAAGAAGCGCTTCTCTTCTTTTCCAGCATACGCCTTTCTAGCCTCCTTTGTGCCTCATCTCCAGGGAATTGCGCACGGCGCGGCGGGGTAGTTTTTCCTGCCTCCCGCTTTATTGCATCAACAAGAGCAGCTTCCTCAGTTGCTTGTAAAGGAGTTGGCTTGCCCTATTCCTCCCCCGCTTTGATTTGAGTGGCTGTTTTTGCCTGACCCGTTTCGAAAACGACAGCTGTCAATCAAACCAAGAGCCCTCCGCGGGAGTGCTCACTCTTTCGCCCCCTGATGTTTTTCCCCATCTCAACGGCTAAGAGCAGCACAGCATCGCCAGTCCCTCACGGAGCGCCACGTGGCAGAACCACGTGAGCACACGGGTCCCATTTTCCAGGCTCTTCCCCGCTGCATTTCAAGCAAAAGCCGCGAAGAAGCGGCGCAGAATCCACTCTAGGGCTGCTCGCGGCACCAGGGCCGCGACCAACCGGGCAGGCAGCATCGCACGGTGGAAAGCCCCGAGGGACGGAGGGAAGGCGGTGGTGAACTGGAGAGCGGCCACCCGGTCGACTAGGATGGTCCCGCTCACAGTTTTGGGGCTGTACAACCCGGCAGGACGGATGACGTCACGCTGACGACCGTGCTGGGCGCGAGCGAGGTTTGCCTTCCGGGGCCTTTGGACGTCCAGATAACGTCGCCAGGTTTTACGTCTGCGAAGGGCTTGATGGTCGCTTGCTGAATTGAGAGGGTAGATCGAGGGTCCGAGACCAGGATGTAATGGTTCGGAGTACCGCTGATGCTTACACCCGCGTCGGCTTCGAGGGAGACGTAAGTGGCCTGCAAAAGAGTTGAAGGATTGGTGTTTGATGTCCAGCAGTGGCATGAAGAGAAAGACTGATCTCTGCCACAAACAAGGGACATCCCTTCTTGGTTCTTTGCAGTGCACGACAGCAAAGTCGTAGAAACTTGTCCGCCAGCTCTAGTTGATCTGGGGTAAGAGGCAAGTTTTGATCCCCCAATGCTCAATGGTCCCGACAAAAAAGCATCATGAGTTGAGCATATGAAGCCTAGGGGCGGTGATGTGTCCGCCTCAAATTCACGCTTGCACTTTTGTTGTTTTCAAGTGTTTGATTGTTAGGCAAGCAGCGCCAATCTACGGGCCGGATGTTCAGCGCACAAAGGCACGTGGAATAAAGCGGAATCCTTTTGACGGTTCTGATCATATCCGCAAACGAACGGCAACCGTTTGACTGCCTTTGCTGAGGACGACAACTTAAGTCCTAAAACGGATGAGAAGTCTTCTTTAACTAGAAAACCAGTCACAAGGTGCCTTCTACCCCTTTCCTTTCATTCGCGTGCTTTGTTTTCCTTTGAACACTTTTCTGTCAATTCTTTATTCAACTTATTCTTTACTTTCTTAGCACAATTCCGGCGGCTAAAGTCGTGCGACTTACCGTTTGGTTCAGGTGGTGCGTGAACCAGTACACGGGCTGTACAAACAGCTCGCCAGAGCTCGGGTCAAAGACAAGAACGGGATCGCCCAAATGGACGTCCGCCATTCTTTTCCAGCCGCCGTCCGCTAACGTCACAAAAGCGTCAGCGGGAAAGCAGCCACCCTTTTTGACCGGAAGGGGAGGTGCGGGGGGCGGCGGTGGCGGCGGGGCCGGGGGCGGGTTTGCGAAGCTCTCTAACGGGGGGTCAAAAAAGGGTGGTTCCGGGGGAGGAGTTTGCGGCGGCGGCGGCGGCGGCTGTGGGCGCTTGGAGGGCGAAGGCCCAAGCTGCGGGGGAGGGGGTTTACCGATAACGGACCAGGTTGGGTCCGAAACTACCTCTGTTTGCGCGCTAACGCCCCTCTCTTGCAGCGCGGTTGAGAAGGACCCTGAGTCGACAGACTCCGCGATTGCTGCGGCCTCTGAGGAGACTGCGGCCGCGTTAGCTGCGGTTATGCTGATAACCACCTGCACACGAGCGCTAACCGTAGGGGTTTCGGTTACTTGAACGTCCGTCGGCGATAGACCGGAGGACTCGAAGGCAGCGCTGACTTTGCCGCTAGAAGCGCATCTCCAACGGCCTGCGCCACTTCCTTCGCTTGAGACCCGTCTGTACAGAGGATGCTGAACAAAACCCTCAACCCTGGGGTTTGAAGCAACCCGCGTCGCCTCCCGCTCTCCGAGAAGCCGTCTATGGAAACGGACGAAGGATCGACATTTAGAGCGTACGACACCCCATCGATGAACGCCTCTCTCCCGCCCCAGTCGGTCCAATCGTCGGGCGACACGTTGCCCAACACGCAGGAATGGTTAACGGCGAAGGTTATGCCGCTAATGACTACAGACCCCGGGTCAAGCCCGTTGGCTTCGGCAAGCGAGAGCGCGATGTCGTCGTTCTGGATCAGGTTCGCGTCCTCGAGGCTGGTTAAGGAAACCCCGACGTTAATCGACGCTGCGACAGCCGCGGCCGCGCTTGGGGAAGGCGACTGAGAGGGAGAGGGAGAAGGGGAGGGGCTGGCCTTTGGGCTTCGGCTGGGTCTCACTGAGGCGCGCGGGCTTGGCGAGGGGCTCTCTACCGGGCTCGAAGGAGTGCTCGGTGAGGGGCTCGGGGAAGGGCTTGAGACTGAGCTAGAAGAAGAGGGGCTTGGCACCGGGGAGAGAGACGGGCTTTCTACCGGGCTAGGAGAAGCGCTCGGGGAAGGGCTCGGGGCGGAGCTAGACGTCGGGCTTGGCACCGGGGAGAGAGACGGACTTTCTACCGGGCTAGGAGAAGTGCTTGGGGAAGTTTGAGGCGCAGCGCTTGAGGAAGGGCTCGGTTGAGGGCTCGAAGAAGCACTCGGGGAAGGACTACCGGGCGGAGAGGAAGCAACTGGGCTTGGCGACGGACTCGGGGAAGGGCCTTCGCTTTGACCTGCACTTGTTGACGGGCTATCGGAAGGACGCATGTAGGGGCTGCTAGAAGGGCTCGCAATTGGGTCGGGGGATGCGCTCGCAATTGTGCTGGGAGATGGGCTGGCAACCGGGCTGCTGGAAGGGCTAGCAACCGGGCTGCTGGAAGGGCTAATAACCGGGCTGATGGAAGGGCTAGCAACCGGGCTACCGGAGGAGCTGGCAAACGGGTTTCTCGGGGGACTCGCAAACGGGCTGCTGGAAGGGCTGGCAAACGGGTTGCTCGGGACACTCGCAAAGGGGCTGCTAGAAGAGCTCGGAGTTGCGCTGCTTGAGGGGCTGGCAGCCGGACTGTTTGAGGGCCTAGGAAGCGGGCTGCTAGAGGGGCTTAAAAATCGGCTTGGGGAGGGACTGCTTGAGGGACTAGCAGAAGAGCTAGCCACCGGGCTAGGAGATGGAACTGGGCTCTGCGAAGGGCTGGCGGTAGCACTGTTACCGAGCACCGAAACTTGGACGGCCGTTTCTGCGACGCGCCCGAAGTTGTCCGTCACAGAGAGCTTGAACGTGTAGTTGCCGGCTACCAAGCCTGACGCTCTCGCGGCCGGCAGGGTCGCATTCGAAAGCACTGAGGCGGGCCCCGACACTTGCTCCCATGCATAGCAACTTGCCCGGGGCGGATCCCCGACCGCCCCCAGGAGCTTCCTCCGGGCCCTCGTGCACTGCCCGCGGTCCTCGCGAAGGGGTATGCAGCCACCATTATAATCATTATCAATGCAATACTTGCAACCGGGCGCATTGTAGCAAGCCCGCTCGCTGTTGGGACACTCGCAGAAGCAGTTCCACCCGAGGTTGTTGTAGTTGCAGTTGAAGCTCTCCCAGCCAAACTGGCACGAGCACTTGTTGTTAGCCAGGCACGTGCCCCGGTTGTTGCAATTATAAGAGCACACGAAGGGGCTGCGTGAAGGGCTCGGTGAAGGGCTCTTGCTCGGGCTAGGAGAAACCGAGGCTTTGGGGCTGGGGCTTCTGCTTGGGGCAGGGCTAGGGCTTGGAACCGGGCTGGTGCTTGGAACCGGGCTGGCACTTAGACTCGGCTGTGGGTTTGAGCTGGCCCCCGGGGAAGGGCCCGGGGTGGAACTTGGGCTTGGCTGTGGGCTTGAGCTGGGCCCCGGGGATGGGCCCGGGGTGGGAGCCGGGGTAGCAGGCGTGCAATCTTTGCCGACGTATGAGTTGGCGCACAGAAGGACGAATGAGTTTCCGCTCGGGGCGCAGGACAGCTGACCGGGAGACGAGACGTTAAGGCAGGGGCTTGGAGGCAGTTCACACCGGGCCCCGCTGTAACCAGCCTTGCAGCGGCAGGCTGCGGCATTGACGGTGGTAATGCACTCTCCATTGGGGCCGCAGTCGACTCCGAAACACGTGGCACACTTGGACGAGCGCGACCCGTCGAGGAGGACCGAGGTTTCGGACGTCAACGTGATCTGTGCCGCAGGGACGCGCGCACGCGGGCCGGGCGCGGCAGGGCACGTGCTGCTCTCGTTGCATTGCTGGGCCAATAAGCTCCAGGGTTGAGAATTGGTTGGGGTTGCAAGGCAG